ATTATTACTATTATTATTACTATTACTACTACTACTACTACTACTACTACTACTACTACTACTACTACTACTACTACTACTACTACGAAAAATCCAGGACACTCAACTAGGAGATATAGAAGTTGTTGTATGAAAAAATGTAAATGATCTTGGGTATTCAGTTAAAATGAGTTGAGATCAACACCGTACTTAAAGAGGAAGAATGCTAGTGAATGGGACTAAGGATAGAGCCAGATCATTCCGAGCTGGGGTCAGTATCATGGCTGAAAGACAATTGTAGATATATAGTAAGGATTCTCAATAGCCTTTCAGACGGGACTGGGATTTAAGAATGTTATAATAGAGAACCGTTATATCCGAATTCGTTTTATTTTTGCAAATGTTGATGTGCTTGTCCATGTCGATGATGTTGATCATGAATGTAGTAAACAATTTATACCGGCATTATTACTGACAAAACTCGTATGTAATGGTAATGAAAATTTTCAGAGCACAACATACATTATAATGAAGACAAAATAATAAATCAGGAAGTTTTACCATTTGATGAAAGTACCAACGTACATATTTTGCATCAACCTGTAATCCTGTGCAATTATTATTTTTCTATTTTGATTTTCGTGTTTATTCCATTTTCTTGTGATAAAATGAAACATGATATAATTGTAATGATGTGCCAATGCAGGAATAAAGTAAGGAATAGAAAAAGAAACATATCTGAATGAATCAATGAAGAAAAAGACGGGAAGGAAGAAAAGGGGAATGAACTATATAACAGTGATTCATTTTTCTGACACCATCAGAACTGAAATGTATAGGAAATTTATATGAGAATATTCTGACTCCAAATTAACACCATTATTAATCAGACACCACGTAATTAAATTCTCTCTTATCGCTATTGTACTATGTTAAAAATATTTATTCCTATCTATATAAGCTTCCACCTCCTTTCGCACGGGATTCATACGCTTCAGCACATTGCAAGGACTCCAACTAAAAGAATGACCCGTCTTTCATGACCCAAATTCCCGTAATCGTATATGCTCTGTACTCCAAGCTAGAAGCTAGACCTATGATCACTGGACCTCTTCATTAACTCAAGTAATAATACACATCAATTTATTATCATTTCGAACATATATATATATATATATATATATATATATATATATATATATATATATATATATATATATATATATATATATATATATATATATATATATAAAGAATACAAATCATATGGCGAATAACAACCCTCTCAAGCGTACTGGATCCACCAAGGGATCACGTTTGTCAGGGATTAATTAAAATAGATGCAATAAACTGACGACGAACAGTACGAAACTAGTAACTAACTAGCCTAAGCGCTTTCGACTCTTAATGAGTCTTTTTCAAAGGCAAATACAAAACATAGTTACGACAAACAAATAAACACAAAAACGTTGTGTTTGTAAACCTCTACATTTCTATCTTCACATGTGCTAAAACTATAAATACAACCCGCTTGTATATATATATATATATATATATATATATATATATATATATATATATATATATATATATATATATATATATATATATATGTGCTAAAACTATAAATACAACCAGCTTGTATATATAAGCCTCCAGCTTCTGTCAGACTGAGTATATATATATATATATATATATATATATATATATATATATATATATATATATATATATATATATATATATATATATATATATATATATATATGCACAGTCTGGCAGAAGCTGGAGGCTCCATTTTACCTTGATGCAATTCAAGAAAAGCTCTCAGAATCAGAAATCGAGTGGTCGTTATCCATTCAATATTTCAACGTTATTTGAAATCTTACAAGATGCGACACGTAAATTCAGAAATGTTCCACAAGTATGCACGCCCAGGTTAGTTTAAATGATTAAGTATTATTGAAATGGCCCGTCTGGATTGAATCAAAATTGTAATATGCTAATACACAATATTTATTTATAGCAATTTAAATTCTCCCAAAAAATTATTATGTATCGTTTAAAGCTGGTTTGAGTCAATATATCTACAATTTATATTCAAGATAAATCTGCGGAATATGTTGCAAAATAACAAAAAAAACCCACGTGCTTTACAATTTCAAGCTACACACAAGAATGCAGTTTTTTACTGCAGAGATATAAAGTCTATGAAATGATTGATATACAGGTGAAATTCGAAAACTATTCAATTTATGATTAAAATGCTTTTTTTTTCAATCGAGAGAACCTTTCTACTAAATAATGTGGTATTTCAATTTTCTTTGCCAATGTCAGTTACACACGCTTACATAATCTTGTGTCTTCCTGCCTGAGTAAAAATGAAATTAAGACCGCTATTGAGCAATGCGGTAGAAGCTGTTATTCAGCAATACGGTAGAAGCTGTTATTTAGCAATGCGGTAGAAGCTGTTATTCAGCAGTACAGACTGTAAGAAATGCTATTCTGCAATAGAAATATATATCTGGATACCATCAGTGCAGACTAGTAACTGGTGTTTAGCAGTGGAAGTATAGACCTGGATACCATCAGTGTCCACTGTTGGAGCTGCTATTTTGCAGTGGAATTATATACCTGGATACCATCAATGGGCACTGTAGGAACTTCTATCCTGCATTCTAATTATATACATGGATAGCATCAGTGGATACAGTAGGAACTGCTGTTCTGCAGTGGAGGTATATACCTGGATACTATCAATGGACACTGGAGACTGGTATTCTGCAGTGGAATTATATACCTGGATACCATCGGTGAGCACTGCAGGAACTGCTATTCTACAGTGGAAATATATACCTGGATACCATCGGTGGGCACTGTAGGAACTGCTGATCTGCATGGAAATATATGCCTGACTGCTATCATTGAACACTGGGAGAAGTTCTAATCTGCATTGGAAATATATGAGGCAACTATTCAGAAGTTTAGTGAGCTTATCAGAAATAAAAATTATTTTTACTTATAATGAGGAGACGTTATTTTGAATTGAATTATCGATTAATTCACTACTCAGTAAATTAGAAAATCTGCCATTTTATATTAAAATCTAGCTTGAGAATTAAAACAAAAATGACTATATAATACATTTTTAGCGTGAATAGTGGTTAGAATGTCATAAATTATTTTATAAAATAATTTGCATCCAAAATGAAGAGCAATTCGTTCCTCGGCTATCCCTGCCATGTGATATGATTACAGGCAGCCTTTTTAGAAAGGGAGTTCTCATTGTGAAACCCCCTATTGACATCATCGGAACGCATATAACTACAGGGTGGGGTATCACATATTTCTTATTAGCCTTTGTAAACAAAATGGCTACTGACTATACTCATAAAAATTTCTTACTCTTGCAAGGTATGAGAAGCAGACGTCATATTCACAAAAGGAAGACACAAATGTCTTTATTTCACAAAATAGAATCTGTCACATCGCAGAATAAGATAAGAGTAAAATTACTGTGTTCACTGTCAGAGTGCGAGTTCTCTAACTTCTCGTCACATGACGTACATCTCATAATATTGATCGAAGAAGACTGTACTTAAAATAACAGCAAAGTTTGCAGTGGGAGTCAAGTCGATCGTTTATTCATGATATCATTAGTTTGATATGCTTATGACACAAAATGCATGGGGATAAAATATTGAGTAATATTATAATTAATCCCTCTTATAAAATCTATTGTTCCATGCATTATTCCCTATCAATTAGTGAAGTGCACCGTCTATCGTCTTATAAATGTAACACTGGTAAGTTTATCGATCGCGATGTACATCTTGTAAATGTCTTGAAAATTTGATAAACTATAAACTATTTAATAAACTTACTGTGCCCCACTTTCAGGTCAAAAGAAATTTTAGACGAATACATGGTACAAATAAATGTGGTTTCACTGCATCATGAGACCTTAATACACAGGCTCCAGTTACTCAACATGGAACGCGCAAACATTAGTTTGTTCATATGTAAATAGTATGTCACATGAGACCTTAATACACAGGCTCCAGTTGCTCAACATGGAACGCGCAAACATTAGTTTGTTCATATGTAAATAGTATGTCACATGAGACCTTAATACACAGGCTCCAGTTGCTCAACATGGAACGCGCAAACATTAGTTTGTCATATGTAAATAGTATGTCACCTTCAGTGTGGGAGTGGGGATGATTTCCAGCAAAATCTATCACATTGTACTTCAGGCTAGTGTAAAATAACTGCCTTGGCCATAAGCAATTGCTTTTGATAGTGAATAATGAGAGCTATTGACAACACCTACTCTCGTTAATAAAAAAATAATAAAGTAAGCCAGGTGTCAAACTCGTACATTTTTAAAGCTGCACCCTATCTGATTATGTGCTAATGTTATTCATCCAGTCAGTACGTTCATTCACTGGTTAATATTTCAAAATAAAAAGAGACATTCCAAATTTGCTTCCCATGTACGATTTAAATACATTGCAGATCATTTAATAACCACTTTTGCACGAAGCTTCTTGGTTGCTTTGCTAATTCTTCCAGTGTGTCAATCAGATAAAAAGCTACATTATTTCTAATTGGCCGTTGTTGTTTTCTCTGGACATGAAAAAACAATAATCACCAATCAGAAGGCAATGTAATTTTTTTTTACTGTGTAACAAACCGGAAGTATATACATCAAATTAGACTCAAGTAGACAAAGTACAAGAATCAACAGAGTAACTTAGTGTAAAAGTGGTTATCAAATTATGAGAAAATTATTTCATAATACACTAGAATACATTCTGTATACCTCCATTCTGCTGAAAAATGCAGTTAAGATACGACAATTACAATAAAATCGGCGAGACGGGTGTGGGTTAAGGAGAGGGAGCATCACGAACCTAGTCTTGTGTTAATTACAAAAAGCAGGCGACTGTTGTAAATATGTGTTTCTTTTCTTTTTAAATGACAAAAATTAGTGTCTGAAAAATTCTTACTTTAAAGAGGATCTGGAGGCCTAGTGGTTAGAGCTTCCGCCTCGAATGCGGAAGATTATTGGTTCGATCCCCGGTCGAGTCGTACCAAAGATATGCAAAATTGGTACTAACAGCTTCCTCGTTTGACGCTCAGCATTAAGAGGTTATTGTTAGGACTGGTTGGTCTGTTGTCAGGATAATGTGACTGGGTGGGACATCATGTTTGCAGCATGATGCCCCAGAACTAGACATCACTATAAACTGCTACACTGATGACAGAAAAATTGTTAAAACTACATTAAAAATCATAGTCACATCACATCTTATTTAAAGAATTAAAAAGTAAACGACTAATAACTATTCATAACTGTTGAATATTAATTAACTTGTATAAATTAAATTCCATTCTGAATAATAATAATAATAATAATAATAATAATAATAATAATAATAATAATAATAATAATAATAATAATAATAATAATAATAATAATAATAATAATAACGAGGACTTTATATAAAGCCTAATCTTTTGAAGCTCTAAGCGCTTTTCAACATTTGATAACGCTTAGAAAAGAATAAAAAAATCTATTCCCCACATCTTTTATCGATATGTGTATCGGTATTACAAAAGTATCGGTGCATTGTTTAATCTATAAATAGTTTCACTCGAATTAAATCCATTGTTATTTTCTTTTCTGTTTATTTTTTTAAAATCTGATAATTTTCAAAACCAGGCGATTTCAACTAAAACACTGTTTGCATCCTGTGGTAGACCGCTTTTAAAACTATATTTTTGTCCTTGCGCTTATAGAATCTAATGGATATTAAAGCAAAGTGAGAATTAATTACATGTATAGTCAATACAGTCTGTTCTTCACTGATAAGTCAAATTCTTCGTATTGTACACAAAGTTCACAGATGTCAATAAAAAACATGATAAGTAGACGATCTTCATAAGGAAAGCTGCATATATGGATATACACATAGATACTCAACTGATTCGGGTGTATGATAAAGACGAATATCCACATGGAAAACATAATGATGTTGAAACCCATGTCAACAACAAAGATGACAGTCATCGTCCAGAAACCCACTGGATAGCCGTATACTTTCCCAATAACGCCAGTGTGGAATACTTTCATTCTCAAGGATTGCCTCCTCAGACAAATGACATCATTGAGATATGAAAAGAAATGTTGTATCTACTCGGTTCTGAAATGTTAGACTACAAAGATTATATTCTATTGGGTGTAGACAGTGTATGTATGGTTTTCATCGACACAGCCTTGCATTTTCCTTGCAACATTTAGTGACTTATTTTGATCAAGAGTACTGTCAAAACGATGATACAGTAGAAATATTGCTTTGGGAACATTATAACTATTTTTTTCTTAGCAGCATGGTGTGCATTGATTGAAGCATGACAATCTATTCGATAATTAGAAGCCATGTACGAATTAACAACGTTGTCAGACTTGTTCATTTGTTCATTTATATGTTTTCGGTATTTTGTAATTGAATGGAAAGGGAATGACCCAAATCCGTCTTCTCATCTAGTTTTAAGTTAGCTAGGCCAATTAAAGAAAAAAATGTTGATTTTGAAAGAAATGGTCTTGACTTATTTTGTATAGAAGAAATTCATTTTCTTTAAACATGCTTTTCACATTCTCTCTGTCGAATTCGGTAAAAAAAAGTTAAATGCTTTCATCCACCTTATTTCGCACTGTGTCTTTGTCGTTGGTAACATATAGCTTTTCACGTGCTTATGTGATTTTAAAAGCCAAACAAATCAGTCAAGCAAGCAAGCAATAAATCTGTTGTAGTTGTGATTTTAATATATCATCTTTGTGCCGAAAAACAGCCAAGGGCGAAAGAAGGACGTTTAGATGGGGACATACGATCACGTCTAGTTAGCGATTGCCGGCATTCCTTGCTTGTAATCTGTTTTTGTTCTACAAGTAGGTGGAAGGGGCGATCTATCAATTCGAAGTACATTACTTGATCATTATTCGAATAGGCCATTAATTGATTCCATCTATTTTTTACTGTCTTGTATTATAAGAATTGCAAATTAATATACACATATTCCACTGACAGATCCAGCTGACTGTATAGTGTGCGTTTTTATCTACATGGGTAGACAAATACTCGATAAAGATTTTCTTGATTTACTTGCGAAGCTGTAAAAAATAGTGTTAACACTCTGGCTCATATTTATAAAATGAATTGCCATCTGTTCTCCTTACAGTACGAATCGTACTTATGTTTAGACTAAAATGTAAAGACTACCCACTTTACTGTCAATTTTTGGATATTTAAGCTTTCTATATCACTGCCTGGTTGTTAATATGACTACCATCGTTAATCATGTTTATATCGTATGGCGGCCAGTATGACTGGCGGTTGAAGAACCGCGGGGAAACCCTAGCTAAGAAACATTAGGTAACGAGAAGCTATTTGCAAGTATTCCCACATACCCACAGTGGTCGAGTCTGAGACTCCAACCCACGTGGACAGAGGTGAGAACGCAGTTATCGGTTTTAGGCACCTAAGTTAAATGGTCATTTGTACTACTATTGCCACAGAGTAGTTGAGTTATATGAAATATGTGAAATACTTTATTCCTTCATTAATTAATTTGGTTTGTGGCAAGTTATTTTCTTTCGTATCATTAGTTCAGTTATATTGTTCTTTTACTTTTAGTGCCTTGCGCGTTTATTCTGTCTTACAGGGTCACCCATAACGTAGCAGTAATAATAGTTGTAAATGCACTTTAGTGTCATGTACGACACATCCTGTATCTTCGTGTCTGTGTGAGCGTGAAGAATAAACTGGAGTAATTTATGGTAACAAGGTCACTCGGGTGGAACGATGAAACAAGTTTGTAAGCACGGGATAAAAGGAAGGAGGATGTTCAAACGATATATCACCCTGTCTGACATTGTTGCCTACAAAAATAAAATTGGGTTGCTAAATAAAAAGTGGTAGATTTCTTACTTCCATAATTATGAATACGATAACAGCACTATCATTTAGGTAATAAGTCAACAGTTACAAACTTATAGGACATAAATTCACATTCTATAACTATTACTGTTATTGATTACAATATATCGATGGTTTCACATGTAAGGGAATTGTTTTAGCAATGGAAAGCCGTAAAGGAAAGTTGTAAACCAATCATGTAACATTCAGTCTGTGAAGGAAGTTTATCTAAATATTATGTTTAAAAGGAAAAAAAACATTAACATTAAAATATCAATAACATTTTGCACTATATGTGATAATTATGACACCGTATTTTTTTCTTAGAACTTGAACAGCATATTCTTTTGGTTTTGTTTTTGTTACAGACTGTTGTCATTCTTGTTTCATCATTGTTGTTTTTCATATTCTCAGCAAATAAAAGGCAGCCAGTGTAACTGGTTGAGGAAAAACCATGGAAGAACACCGCTCTACATGAAGCTAAAAATCATACTGGTGATATTTTGTTTATTACATTTATATGACAACGATTAAGCTGCATTTAATTAAATTTGTCGCTCATTTAAAAACCTATAACATTGTAAAATTTAAAGCGTGACTCTATTTCCTGTTATTCTTGGTCCAAAACGTCTCTCATGAGAGTGACAATTCAAATTGTGACCAATGTTTCCGTGACATTCTGTCCTTCTATCCTACATTCTGTATGTACATGTGTGCATTGCCAGAACTATAGAGTTGGCGTAAGATTATTATGTTTTACATGTAACCAGGCAAATGACCCACTTGTCATTCTTGCAACAGGCAGTCATTTGTCACAAGAGGAAACGCGAATGTCATAATAGGGCGCAACAAGTGAATGGCTTGGTTCACTGATATTTTATGAGTTTTTTTTATCGTCATCACGGTTTCGACTCCGTTAGCAGTTACAAAATGGCAACGTGTGTTCTAGTTTAAAGTTCGTGGCAGTGATGGTTATTGTAACTGCCGAAGTAACATATTTATAATACAGTCTACATATTATGTGTTCAAAATCTTGTAGGACGTGTTACAAATAAAGCACCATTCTTCGCAGTCGTAACACAATGTTCCGTCAGGACCTTATTCATATATCTGTAACAGCGTGTTCCTCAAACGCACTTTTTTTTAAATACTTGCAGCATAATCTTCCGCCAAAAACCTTGTTCTGATATTTGCAACAGTTGTCGTTGCTATGGGTTTAAAGCCATTTTTTAAATTTAAATTTTATTCCACGTACATAGGTAACCAAGGGTCAGGGAGCAATCCCACCGACTACAATACAACAATTCCTTTTCTTTCTGTATGTCTTGTCTGTATAAAGGTTTCAATTAACAAATCTTTCATCTATTTAAACGGGGGGGGGTAAGGAGAATTACAAGAGGAAAAAAGATATGAAGAAAGAAGACAACATACATACATACATACATACATACATACATACATACATACATACATACATACATACATACATACATACATACATACATACATACATACATACATACATACATACATACATACATGCATTCACACAGATATGCATACATACAGATATGCATACATACATACATACATACATACATACATACATACATACATACATACATACATGCATACATGCATGCATGCATGCATGCATGCATGCTGGCATACATACATACATACATACATACATACATACATACATACATATATACATACATACATACATACATACATACATACATACATACATACATACATACATACATACATACATACATACATACATACATACATACATACATACATACATACATACATACATACATTCATACATACATACATACATACATACATACATACATACATACATACATACATACATACATACATACATACATACATACATACATACATGCATTCATTCAGATATGCATACATACATACATACATACATACATACATACATACATACATACATACATACATACATACATACATACATGCATACATACATACATACAAACATACATACATACATACATATATACATACATACATACATACATGCATTCATACAGATATGCATACATACAGATATGCATACAAACA